TATATATTAATAATAAATGAAACGGACCGACATCCAACAGTAGTGGAAGCACCGGCCCAACGTTTACTGATGGGAGAAAGCTAAAGAGCTAATGCTAAGTGTTCACCGACAGGACTGACAGAACAGACGACATACCACTCACTGACACTGAAACTGACCGAACAACAACTACAATAAATAAATAAATATGTTTGGTGAACGCCGTGTAACTCGTCACGTGACACTGAAAGCCGAACTTGAACTGTTGAACTCAACAATTATTTGTAAATGACAAGCTAACACCTGCTAATGTCCTGCTAATTTAACGTTACCTTAGAAAAACACTGACGTCATTAAGTTCAGTTCCGGTGTCTTTACCTTTGTACCGCAGCTGATGAAACGTCGGATGTAGTTCCTCCTTTCGCCGCTTGTTCATGTAGTGGATTAAACGCTGACGTGTCGTAATCCACGATTTCTGTAGCCAAAATAATCCCACAGGGATGATGTAATGCGTTGTTCGAGTACAACAGCTCATCTTCTGCCGTTTCCCCCACGTGGCAACGCCTCTCAACTGCAACTTCTAGGGACCAAAATCAAAGTAACACACGCGGCGACGCGCGAATGTTGTGTTACTGTGTTTTCGTTCCGTTCATTTGCGCCTAACTGTAGTTCCGGCGGATTTTTTTTTTAAATAAGGAAACGTTACGATTAATTGTAATATCGAGTCTTCGTATTCCAGAGCTAACGGTAGCTACAGGCTAATGTGAGTGGAGTTGGCAGAACAAACGAGCAGAGAAATGAAACGAAAAACAAATACTCGTTTATTAAATTAAAAAATCAATTTTATATCAACCGTTGCTGCTCTGATAATGACGTGACTAATTATGATGAAGTCGTTAAAAATCGTTTTTAGTCCGTTTTTATCAGTGTTTTTAATGAACGCTGTAGTACTTGTATTCAGTTAAGTAGACGTTGGAGTCTAGTGGTTAGCATCTCAGTGGTTAGCATCTCAGTGGAAAGTACTTGTATTCAGTTAAGTAGACGATGGAGTCTAGTGGTTGTCTGAGGTATTACACCTCACCTCTGGTTTAAAACCAGCATCTCAGTGGAAAAACAGCAAATGTCTTGCAATAGTTTGAATCGGTACCTTTTGTAATCAACCCCTCCCCCCCCAGGTCTGCAGTATTGACCAGGATATATGGGCCGTGTCCCAGCCAGCGCCACTGGCTGGCCAATCTTAAAGGTTACTGCAACCACTACATGTACCCACATTAACAGGACACTCACCTCTCTGGGTTTATGGGCTGTGTAATAATTTTAAGCAAAGAGAGAAGTGCAGCCGGTGGAGACAGTAACAGAGGGAGGGGTGGGGGGAGCAGGGGGGAGGACAAGTACGGGGTGATTGATCGTGGTGAGCAGCGTAGCTGTGTACCTTTCACCTCTCTACCATTACTGCGTGCTCCTGATCCCTCACATCTGTCTCCAGTACTTTCTTCACTCCTGGGATTCAAACTCCATCCAAAGGTTGACTTTTTTTTTTTTTTTTTTTTTTTTTTTAAAAAAAGCTTTGTTGTGGCACCAGTGGGACGCTCCATGGTACAGGTGTGACACAGGTACCAGCTGAGGTGCAGTATTTACTGGTGGAGGGGGTTCCTCAACTGATACACACTTTCTACGTCCGACACCAACGCTGTTACTGCGACATGAAGTATCTTTTAATACCTTAGTAAGTTAACGGTGCCAGAATGTATCATATATTTTACTGAAATAATGTATTTTTCTGGTCTGATGTTGGAAGCTAGCTTGAAGCTATTTTTGCTAATTGCTGCTAATTGCAGTCTGTTCTTTGTTTTTTTAATCCATGCATCAGTTTTTCAAACCCGGGAACCGATTAAAGAGATCTGCAGTCGTGTAACAGTACCACTGTGTGCCGCTGTAATGAAGACAAAGTACGTGAGTACCAGGGACAAAACCAGGAAATAAATAAGAACAAAGTATCTCAGGCAAATGAAAGACTGTTGATAATTGGGTTATGAACGGCCTGGCACCGTCTGCTCACTCAGAGGAACACTGCACCACAGACGCAGCGTTCAGAGCAGGCGGCGCGGCGAGAGTGCAGCGTCAACAACAACAACAACAACAACTACGACAACAACAAACAAAGAGAGCTCAGATGAAACGATGGACCCCGGGTGGCGCTGTGGGCCACGAGGCCGATTCACAAATCTTTGAATGACTTGTGACCCTTGTGTGGACGGCAGAACCGTGAAACCACGCAGCCATAACTCCTCACTTAATCTGTGTTACTCCCATCACAACAGAGCACGCCACTCTATCAGTAAATGCTAATCTGCTAATTAACAAGCTAATTAGGCAATTACAGCTTTGCAGAAGGATGCCTAAATGAAATATGACAACACAGGCTCTTTCACGGCACCTGTGGGTCTCCTCATGTGTCACAGCGAGCGGCGTGATGACACACACACACACACACACGCAGAGAGAGGCCCGTACGATCAGAGCTGCTCAACACTCGGCCGCTCCGCTAAAATATCGTCAGTTTATCGAACCTGACGAGCGGTGCACGTGGAAGCGATCTCTCAGGTTACACAGAAAACATTTGTCGTCAACAGAGGCGCAGCGTTAGAGTCTAACAGTTAGACTCTAACTCCAGCCCTGGGTTATGTAAACAGGGTGTGTGTGTGTGTGTGTGTGTGTGTGAAGCGGTCACAGCACCGTGTCTGCGTGTGAGGAGCTGTCACGTATGGAAATGAATTATGTTGACATACGCTTGAAAACAAGGGTGAAACGGCCGCGATGAAGAATCATGCACTGCAACGGAGGAGAGGAGCCGCAGCCGGAGCCGGAGTCGGAGCCGGAGTCGGAGCCCGAGCTGTACCTTTGAGCCCTGGCTGACAGGTATGGAGTGGGAGCTGACAGCTCAGTATTTCAATGATAAATGCACTCGTCCTGGGACTCCCATTCACCAAACTCTGGAGTGTGGAGCTCCACAGCTTCAAGGTCAAATGAACCAGCAGAAACCACACACACACACACAGAGAGAGAGACTGTTGAAGACGCACCTCCTGGATACACACACACACACACACACACACACTGATATATATGAGAATATATGTTTTTATATATTTTATTTTAAACCAAATGGAAATGTTCATTTTCTTCACAGTAAAAGTGATTATTAACATTTTTACAGGGAGGGGGAGAGAGAGGGGGGAGAGGGGAGAGAGAGGAGAGAGAAGAGGGGAGAAAGAGGGGGGAGAGAGGAGAGAAAGAGAGGGGAGAGAGGGGAGAGAGAGGGGAGAGAGGGGGTAGAGAGAGGGGAGAGAAGAGGGGAGAAAGAGGGGGGAGAGAAGAGGGGAGAGAAGAGGGGAGAAAGAGGGGGGAGAGAGGGGAGAGAGAGGAGAGAAAGAGGGGGGAGAGAGGAGAGAAAGAGAGGGGAGAGAGGGGAGAGAGAGGAGAGAAAGAGGGGGGAGAGAGAGGGGAGAGAAGAGGGGAGAAAGAGGGGGGAGAGAGGAGAGAAAGAGAGGGGAGAGAGGGGAGAGAGAGGGGTGGAGAGAAGAGGGGAGAGAGAGAGGAAAGAGAAAAGGGGAGGACAGTCACACAAGCTGTTAAAAGACCAACAGTCGGAACAACAATGTGACAAAAGAGTGATCAGGGTGAGGGTGAGGGTGAGTGATCAGGGTGAGGGTGAGTGATCAGGGTGAGGGTGAGGGTGAGGGTGAATGTTGTTAAAGTTGTTCAAACCTTCTCCACGGAACAGAAACAAACAAACAAACAGACCAACAGACCAGCAGCAGAGTGGGATTGTGGGAGTTTCAGCATTCAGCGTCTCTGACTGTGGGGGGGGGGAAGGCCGGGGTCAAAGGTCACCGTCAGAGGAGAGAACCTTCCTCACCCTACTTTCTTCCGTCGTTCCTCTCATCGTCATCAGGAGCCTGAAGCTGTGAGAAGATCACGTGACTCCACATTCATTAACTCACCCCCCCTCCCCTCCTCACCCCCTC